CAGACCCAAAATGCTCCATTGTCTTGAGTAAATATTTCGTATCCAATGCCAAACATATGAATTTTAGACACAATGAAACTTCTAAATAATTGTTTGAATAAATAAATTATTTTTGTATCTTGATTTAGTAAAGTAAGGCAAAACACGACTGCATTTAAAAGTTAAAAAATAATAATCAGTCAAAGTGAATTGTAGGCTAAGTTTTATGCGCGAGACACATGCGCAGACTGCATCATCTGTCAGATGTTGACTGTATCTTATACTAAATCTTATATTATTTTAATTTTTAGCACATCTCAGCTTCTTTTTGGCAATAATAAGGTAGACATTACATTTTCTTTATTTTTAATCATGAATTTATTATATTTTAATATTGCCTTAGCCTATAAGTGAATAGAAATGTTTGGCAAATGACAGTTGTCATTTGTTTTTAATGTCAAACCATGCCTTAAATATTTTAAAGGTCAAACAATGATAAGCGGTTTTTTGTAATTTTTTCCATTTATTTCTACAATCTAACTATATTTCTATGAATCAAAACATTTTAGAAAATTTCCCGAACAAACTTCAGGAAGATTCATGAAAATCCGAATTATAGTTTAGAAGGATTAATGAAACTTACATTGTTACAGAAGAATTTTATATATAAGATATATATATATATATATATATATATATATATATATATAACTATGTATAAATGTATAAAGCAATCCATAATCTCTTATAACCAGACACCTCTGCCTGACTGAGATATGGAAATGTAAATAATGCCAAATAAAAAAAAACTTGTAATTACAATAATATTTCACATTTGCACTAACATTACTATCACAAAATAGTAAGTGTGCAATATATGTGTTATACGTAAACTAGTTTAAGACATAATGAAAAAAGAATGTTTCAAACAAATGTTTTTACCAAGATTCTAACATGCGTGGAAGTAATTATGAATTCTTTGCACAGTTTTTAGTGTTTTGTAAGAAAGCTGGAAATACTATTAGTCGATCAGCAATTTGAGTTTGTCCAATATTGATAATGTATAATTTGATGCAAAAATATCGAGAAAGGGCTATTTTCACTGAGACATATCTACACATCTATATTTTCCTATAGGATACTACCACCGCTTACTATCAGGCTAGTCGAGATGGGTATCAAATCTGGAACCCGGCGATTGCAAGGTCAAAGCTCTTTATATATAACTTTTATTTTTTTTATTATTTTTTTTAACAGTAATCAGAACCTATAAGATGTTGTGCTGATCTTGACTTAATACTAGTCTGTTTGAGAGATCGCAACCCAATCAGTTGTCACATCTCTGTATGATATATTATTATTACAATTTCTGTAATATATTTTTAATGATGCAGCAATGCCGGGTGAGGTTTATATATAATAATATTATATATCATTCATTATACATCATATATAATGTGCCTTTGTCAAGTTTATTGACTAAAAAATTACAATTTAATCTTTGATTTATCGCTCATTTGTCATGAGATAAGATAAATAATAAGTAAGTAAAGAAACCATTTGCTAAAACGTTATCAAGTTATATTAAATTTGAATTTTCATAATTATATCATATTGTTATTAATAATATGTCAAAAAGTAAATTTATAATTAAGCTAAATGCGATGAATGGGAATACATAAATCAAATTGAACTTATCTCATGATTAGCCTCAATTTTTTAAACCCTGACACTGTTAGTACAATTGTATATTATATGATTTGTATACATATGCAAGTCGATATTAATAATTGATTTTTCGCCTTTGTTACAATGAAGCAGCTGTAATTTTATCAGTAAACGTCAATTAATGAAAGATAAGATACTCTTCATACATGAGCAAAAATCCAATAAACTTTCTTCCATACATGTACACGCATTTTTATTCCTGTCACTTTTTTAAAGAATTGAGAAATGAGTAAGAACTGTGACTCACACTAAACCAGAACAAGATTACATGGAAACTATAAATAATAGTGCAGTAAACGGAGCGTTTTGGGTCTGATTTTTTTACTGTGCTCCGAATTGCATGAAATTTTGAAATTAGGTTCATCTCACCCTCAAGTTCAAAAGTGAAAACAATTCGGGATCCGCCACCATCCCCCGGGGAGAAGACACCCATTCTGAATTGTGTAATTACATTTTTTCAAAATAACGTCGGAAATCGATAGAAGAACTAATTATAAAAAAAAAATGTCTTTTACAGTTTTTCAAAAAAACTAATACTTTTCATGTTACAGGTCACTAAAAATTCATATATTTTTGCCGTTTTTATACGTTTTCTTGCAAATATCTCCTAAAATATACATTTTAACGAAAATCATGTAATGAACAAAATAATGTCAATAAAAATCCTAATAAATCGGTTTGTAACCCTTTTATTAACCTTAATTAAGGGCTAAAGTTGTAGCCCTTTTATTAACCTTTCAAATGGTATATTACAAATTGTGATGAAGTCGAAATTAAAGGAGTTATGACCCGAAAACTAATAGCATTTTTGTCGAGTTGTGTCCATATTTCGAGCAATGTCCCAAAAACTATTGACTTATATATATATATATATATATATATATATATATATATATATATATAAGTTCTTGTGGGGCGATACAAAGTAGATGTATAAATGTTAGTACAGTGTGTGTCTTTAGCTGTAACCTACCAACGTTAATATCCACTGATGATGACATTAAATTGAATGTCGAAACGTTTGGAATTAAAGATTAATTTATAAATCTTTGCTTTTTATTTTTGATGTATCGCCCCACAAGAACTTACTCATATATATTTATATATATATATATATATATATATATATAAATATGCCTATGTGTATTTATAATAGAAACGTATATTTTGAAATAATATGAATTAATGGGTTTAGCTTATATCTCGGGGGAGGGGGTAAACCACAAAATTTTGTATTATTATGTTGATCATGAAATGTATCTATCTTCATGGTACAGAATTTTGGCAGGCGATTTATCCTTATAGTAAAGTATCTTATGGCAGAAAGGTCCGCGTGTGATAACTGCCAGAATAGCCCTTTAATACAGCCAGAAGAAGATAGTGATGATAACAGCAACTCCGACACTGAGTAGTAAATGTTGTTTCAGTTTGAAATAAATTATGATGGTATCATTAAATAATTTTTCAATTTGTAATCGAATATATTAACTGTTTTTATTCAAGGGTAGTTTTAAGAGTTGAACAAATTATGCATATGGTAATTATTTTCGAGAAATTGAAATAACATTCATATCATTTTGAATTTCTTAATTTTCTTTCAATTTCAAAATAACTTTTTCAAACAATTTTTCATCAAGGGGTTGTTTTTAAGGGTCTAAAAGGGGTTAAATTTGATAATGAAGATAGAAAACATAAAATATTATTTACTTTATACGTAATTCTTATTATATCATACCGAAATTTATTTTTAAGTGTTTTTTTTTTTGAATTTAGAGTTTGTTTGAAGAGTTTTAGGGCTTTTACGGGGTTGAAAATTATTTTATTGCAAGGTAATGTATAAAAAAAATTCTTTAATTATATTCTATAATGTTAAAAACGTTTACTAGCGATAAAACGGCTCAATGTCCACTTATTTATTAAGGTGTCGCAACCCCCCAAGAGGATGGTGGCGGAACCCAAATTATTTTCACTTTTGAACTTGAGGTTAAGATGAACTCAATTCCAAAATTTCATGCAATTCGGAACACAGTAAAAATTCAGATGTTATACTCTTTTTTCCTCTCCGTTTATTGTACTATAATGATTAAATATACTAGTGGTGCATGGCATCGTGCCTTAAGGCCAATTGTGGGTACGTACGATAAATTAATTTTTTTCAAAAAGCTTTAAAATTTTCGACAACTTTGAAGATGTTAATAAAGTTAAGCGCCTCGTCGCCGTCTAACGGATAAACATTGGTACGAAACTCAAACAAATTTTGTACTTATTATTAAAATATCTATAAAATACCTGATAATTTGATGTGCATATATTTGATGATAATTTTTGACTGCCAAATATTTTTATAAAATTTTTTTTTATGGATCTCCGAAACCGCTGCACCTACCGTCAACAATTCAAACAGTTATTCATTTCGTTATGCAAGTGAAATGTTTCTCGAATTATCCAAATTGAACGAGAGTTCTCTCAAAAACTGAATTACAATTTCTGGCTCTTTTTGCCCCCTATCTTCGAAACCGCTAGGCTTGCCTTCGCCAAAAACTAATCAGCAAATCATCCCTTTAATGCGAATCTAATTCTTTATGAAATATTGAAATCGTTAATCCGTGTTCCCGAAAACGTCGACGAAAATTTGTCAATACATTTTTTCTAAGGTATGCCAAAATCTTCAAAAACCTCTGATACGTTGTTAGGATACATAAATAAAAAAATCATTTTCATAACATTTTCATTACTGTAACTTACACTACGGGAAGTTAATAATGCATAGAAATTAAACAATTTACTAATAATACCTAAAGAAATGATTTTATCATGCAACATTTTCAATATTCTTTTCTGTGATTGAAAAATATATAGTAAAGTTTAAAAAAGATCAATAAAAGAAATTGTCTAAACTTTTTAGTGTTTGAATTTTTTAAATAAAACCTTGTGACATTAGCCTTACGGCATTGACTATATTACAAATAATCTTTAAATCAGCATATTTTTAGGAATTCAAGGCTTTGTTAATGTATCAATTATAACAAGAATTTACATATTAATTTCGTGATTGCAATGCTATTATAAGTCACATTAGCAATTAAAAAGCTAATATAAATATTTCAATCTATTCATGATAATTTTGAAATTGTTTTAGTTGATAGCATGGAAATTTTAGCACTACCATGGAATAATATGACTGTAAGGTTGAATTACAGTTCGCAAATAATATGTTTTCAAACCCTGCCTCGAGACAGCAAACCTCAAAAATGTATTCTTAGGTAAATTCAACATTTCATGTACCCACTTACCAGTTGAAGAACACAAATGGTTAGTAAAAAATGTCTCTTTGAGCAGCTTCCCATGACACCATAATTTAATTCACACCACACACAAAATAAATATAATCATAAACTTTATCTAAAATTCTCTAAGAAAAATAACCGAGCCATGATCATCATCGGAGAATTGCTACACGGCCACTTTAAGACATAATAGTTGTTCACAAAACCACGTAATGCACATGTCGTTATAATGCGCACTGATCGAGAGTTTGACTGATTTCATTTTCGGAACTTTTATAGCATTCTTGGAATTTCTTCAGCGTATACTTTAATCTTGAATTCTCGATATACTCGAGCAACAGGTAGACATACAAGTGTAAACATACAGATACAACACACAAACCGAGTCCGCTGACGAACACGACATCTCTGCCGAGAACGCCGATTCGTAATGCAAGCGGCGAGAACACGAGAACGCAGCGGACACGGTCAGAGGCACAGAGGCGGACAGTCATAGTCGCAGCTCGGAGTTAACAACCAACAATAACGGCCACGGCCGAGCGACGCACGAGCGACGCACGAGCGACGCACGAGCACGACCAGTACACGACGTGGCTTGTGGCGGTGAGGTATGACGGCCAGGCGAACGATCTGTGGATCTGTGCATTTATGAATTGACTACGGGTGCATGGCATCGTGCCTTAAGGCAAATTGATACAACTTTCCGTACCGAAAATTATAATTAAGAAAAACAAAATGTTTTTTTTTTTTGAAAACTGATAAAATTAGTTTTTCGAGAATTTTGAAATTTTTTGAAACAATTTGACTTAAAAAAAAAACGATTTTTTTATATTATATATTGAAATTTTTACCAATTTTGAACTTTTTTCAAAGCAATCGCACCAAGTAGCTGTTCTAGAAACGAAATATAGAAGCACGTAAGTCGCAGTCTAACAGAATTTGTACAGAATAAAAATATAAACAAAATTTGTACTTATAATTAAAATCTCTATAAAACATCTGATAATTTGATGTGCAAATGATCATTTTTAAGCTTCAAATGGCTTTCTTTTTACTATTTTATTGGATCTTTTCCGAATCTGCCATCCCAAAAATTTAATCGATTCTTTGTCAAAGCAAATGAAATATTTTTGAATCATTCAAATCAGATGCTCCGTTCTCTCAAAAACTGAATAATCATCATGAACACTTTTTGCTTTTGCACGTTCTTCGGAACGGCTGGATCTGCCTACGCCAACATCTAATCAGCACGTCTCCCCGTTAATACGAATCAAATGTTCTTTTAATTATTCAAATCAGTTGATCTGTGTTTCCAAAATTGTCGATGAAAATTTGTATCCGAACACACACACACCGATACACCTAATTTTTCTAGGGTATGCCAGAATGTTCAGAAACCTCTAAAACGTAAAGATATATAAAAAAATTTCATTTTCAACTTTTTTGCGATAACTATAACTTACCCTATTGAATACGGTTAATAACATGTATTACTCATGGCATTTAGGGTAATCGTCAATAGGTCTAAACCAGAACATACTGCTTCGTCCATGCGTTATCAATATCTTCTAAGCAAGGCCTCATGGGCACAAAATTTTTTAGAGTACCCTAACTTATTTTTATTTATTTATTTAACTTTATTCTGCGATCTCTTTGGATCGAAACAATAAACAGAGACTGCTAACAAGATAAATAAAAAACTAAAGGTGCATGGCATCGTGTCTGAAGGCAAATTTCAGGAAATTCCCGTTCCGAAAATTACAATTTTTCGGAATTAAACTTTGAAAATTTTAAAAAATAAATTATATTGTATTATATTAAAAATATTTTCCTATTTCCTACGAGAAGTTATTTAGATATTACAGTTAGAGCATATGTTTAAGCAATTTAATCAATGTATTTTTTTTTATTCATTTATTATCATACAGCAATCAGAACAGTAATTACATTCTATGAGCTGCTTTGCTTATGTATATAAACTAAAAAGAATAAACTAAATAAGAATAAATAAAGATAATAACATAAGAATAGTAACTGATAATAATAATAATATATAATAATAGTAAATAATAAAATAATATAATAATATTATAAAAAACAATAAATGTTGATGATTTATTATAAAAAATATAGAAATTGTTACATTAAACAATTTGCTAGATTCGGATATTATCCATTGGTGATTTACGCTTGAGCCTCCTGGAATGTGGTATCTCAAGCAGTTGTGCAACTATTTTATTTGAATGGTTTTAATAAGTTTTTAATTTTATTTGAAATAGTTTTTGAAAGTGGTGGACACTGAAGTTCCTTAAAACTTCCTCGATATATAAAATATTCAGATCGTCATGTATGGTCTTGTTACTGACGAACTACGAGGCATCAACTATCTGTCTGAGTATTTTAGATTGAGCACGCTGCATTAATGCTATATGCGACTTGCTGGCACATCCCCATAATTCAATACCGTAAGTCCATATAGGTTTTATCACTGCTTTATAAATTAATAATTTATTTTTGAGAGATAATTTTGACTTGCGTCCTAACAGCCAGTATATTTCTGCAGTTCTAATTTCCTTCGCTTTTACTTTTGAGCAAATATCATCTCTCCAGGTCAGCCTACGATCAAGATGCATACCCAAGTATTTGACACAATTATTACTTGGTATTTTTCGTCCATAAAAGTAAACACTTGTTGAGCGTAAACGAAATGTGATTCGATTTACTTTCGTTAATTTTTATTCGTCATTTCTTTGTCCATTCCTCAATAATATTGAGATGGCTTTTCAAAATGCTTGATGTAACAGATGCATCGATCTGTGTTGAAAGTACTGCAATATCATCAGCAAAAGTTGCTGTTATGGTCGATTGTAATGTTGGGAAGTCACTAGTAAAGAGAATATACAGTAAAGGGCCCAAAACGCTTCCCTGAGAAACACCTGCTTCAATCAGATGAGATGCTGAAGTATTTGAATTAACGCGGACTTTAAATTTCCTCAATCAAGGTAGGATTCTAGAATATTGTAATACCTACTTGGAAGTAGAGAGCCAATCTTGAATAAAAGGACTTTATGCCACACCTTATCGAAAGCTTGGCTCACATCTAGAAAAATCGCGGAACAGAATTTCTTAGCCTCAAAGGTATTATTGATAACGCTTACAATTCTGTGGCACTGTTGAACTGTAGAGTGCTGGTTCCGAAAGCCAAATTGACCACGTTTGGATCTTTCCCACTTCTATGTATCATTTTTACTATGGATGTTTTATAGAAGTTTGGCCAGTAGTTTAATCATATTATCGAATTGTATATATATATATATATATATATATATATATATATAAGTTAATTGGATAAATCCCTTCTTTGGCATTTCTTTAATCATTCTTGAAGTCACCAAGTCAAATCCAGGAGATTTCTTATTCCTCAGTTTACCAATTTCGTTAACTGTCATTTTTAAAGAGAAGAAGTTTATACTGTTTTCAGAGTTCACTAATAATAAGGTAAATGAAGTCAAACTAGTGTCCGCTGTACTTGAGAGATTTGGATTAGGTTGAAAAACTGAACTCAGATATTCAGCAAATAGATCAGCTTTTTCTGCATTACTTCTTGCCCAGTGTAGGTGATTGCGCTCATCCTATCGAAAAGGCGGATTTCTAGTTTGAGGTTTTAGTTTGTGTTTAATAGGATTCCATATTGAATTATAAAATCTATTAAGGTTTGATACATATTTGTTAAAGTTCTGGTTGGAAATCTCTCTGAGCCTCAATTTAAGCCTGTTGCTTAAATTATTAAAAATATTTCTATCCGAAGGTAAATGACTTGTTTGCCACTTGAGTCTTATCTGCTAATAAATTTTTAATTTCCAAGGACAGCGATTGCTTCTGCTTCACGGTTGTTTTTGGAGTAGCTAATAAAGCTGCTGCATGAAGAATTTCATTAAACTTGTCAACAGCGTGGTCAATCTTCGCTGGATTTTTTAGACTAATTTTGAGATTTATCTTTTCTTTTATTTTGCAACGGTAAAGCTCCAAAAGCACTTAGTTTTTGTAGAATGAAGTCTAACAGGATTACAGACGTTCATAATAGAAGAAGAAATAGTGGCAATAATCGGGGAGTGATCTGATGAAAGATCATAGTTTGGACTAACATACTTGGTATACTTGGAACGTAAACCTTTTATTATGAAAAAAAATCCAATAAGTCGCGCTTCTTTCTTATGTCAGTAGGCCAGTAGGTTGGAGTTCCTGTGGAAAGAGTAGAATAGCATTGTTGATCAAGAACTTCATAAAGTGTTCTTCCCTTTGGATTGATCAGTCTTGATCCCCCAAACGTGTGCTTACTATTAAAGTCTCCGCCGACAATAAATTTACTTCCAAGTGACCCAAAAAAATCAGAGAATTGTGAAGCTTATGCCGGGGAGGACAATATACTGCAGAAATAGTTAATGGAAAAGAAGAAAGTTGAACTTGGATTGTTGTTGCTTGAAGGAATTCTTTGTCATACTTTTGGAGTTCATAATGAGAAATGTTGGACTTAATCAATACGGCTGAGCCACCGGTGCTGTACCATCTGGATGACATGTATAATAAGTATAGTACTGAGGAATAAGCAAGTTGGAGTATTTGGTGAAGTGGGTTTCACTTACTAGTAATACATCAATTTTATTTTTATTAAAGTTTTTATGTAATTTTGATTGCTGTTTATTAATTAATAAAAAAAATAAAAATATTAAGGATCACTATCAATTCATTTTTATACTGTAAAAGCCTATTTGCATTCCATAATCCTACTCTTAGAAATTTGTACATTATTTAATTTTTTAATTTTATTTATAAGCGTGGATAACATGTTTATCATCATTATATTTTGCTGCATGAGCTGTTTGGATATACTTTTGAACTAATTCAAAAAATGGGAGTGACTTGAATTAATACTTTCTGAAATTTCTGATTTACTAGATTTGATTGCTTGAGCATATGACATATGTTCTGAATTAATAAGATTTTCATTACGATGATTAAAAGTAGAATACTTTGCATAATTTAGATGATTATTTGGATAATTTTGATTATTCGCACTATTATTATTATTGGTGTTTTTTTTTAGATCTACTGTTCAAAAGGTTTTTATAAGTTAGGCAACCCCTATAATTTGCAGTATGGGACTCTTCACAATTAGTGCAAAATGCAGGGAATTCCTTTGATTTTGTGCATTTTTTACTCTCATGTTGATCACCACATTTTACACACCTAAATGGCCGGTTGAAGTAAGATTTTGTATGTTCATACATTTGACATCCACTGCACTGAGCTATTTCTGATGATCTTATTGGAGGTTCAAAATGCACAATTTGATTTAGGATTTTATTTAATTTGAAGATATTGGAGTTATTGCTGTTTGGCTCTAAATCAACATAAAAGATGTTGAGTGGTAATTTACTTCTAAAGTGAATAATATTTGTTATATTCCTAACTTTA